AGTTCCACATTGGCTATCAAGTGACCTTGTCAATGCCAAGCACTGCTGCACGAGTTCTCAAAACAAGTCCCATCGTTATGCGTCGTTTTTATACTGCAGTCACCCCAAGCAACGAAAGCTTTCCTCTGCCGGAACGAAACTGAGAGCGAGTTTCAGTCGTAGTGAAGCCTGGCCAATTGCCACAACCAACCAGAACCTGTGGAGGCTATCATCTCTCTTTGAAATAGCTCCAGTGTGGAAGGCAATCAGTGCGAACCAATGCACTTGTTTGCGTTAGCCGCTCAAAGTCATCTCAGTTCTGGTCTTCACATTTCACGAATCATCGTGAATAAAATTCAGCAAGGGCAATTGACAGGCAGCACCAAAAATTGGACTGGTTACGATCGGTCTTCTTCTAGGACCTAGATCATCACCAAAAGTTTCCACTGGAATGAAATTGGGCTTGATGGGCTCAGACAGGGGACTGCTGGAGCGCAAAAGGATCATTTGTTCTCTGGTGTTTGGCTCTCCCATGGACAGCAAGCGCAGAATGGGCCACTGTGCCAGTATGACGGATCAGCCATTCACACACTCACCTCATGTCATGTCTGATGCTTCGTGTGAAACTCAATAATGGCGCATGCAACGCAACAGCAAACTCGTCAAAGAAACAAGGACTTGAAGGTTGCTCTAGAACTAACATCCTACACCTCTTAGCAGTTGCGATATGTTTTCTTCAAGGAGTTAGAGAAGGCAAGTTGCATCGGAAAAGGAATACATCTGTGTATTCTGCCGAGTGCAGCTTCTCGTTTCCTATGCCTAGGCAGACTTGGCGGTCGCGCAAAAGCCTGCTTTGCCGGCAGCAAGCACTATTGTGAAGGCTCACTACATCGTCTCCCATCTTCATGCCAAAGTCATCCATGGGAAAAGTGAATCTCAAGTAGATGCAGCAGGTTCCCACAGCACTGACAAAATCCAGCTCAAACTTCATTCACAGAACTGTCCGCGGAACGAGCAGCAACGTAAAGGCTTCAAGGGCCAATAGCAATAGGCAGGACCTGTCAGATAGTGAACTGTCAAACAGCTGTCATCTCTCATTGTCTTTGGCCGAACATTCAAGGCCATATCCAAGGCCAGTGGCATCGGCCCCTGGCAGGCCACAAAGAGTCATGTCATGCCCTGTCGGACTTGAACCCAAGTCATCAAACCTCAACTCGATATTGCTTCGTCCTTCGCGAGCACAACGCCAAGCAAATGCCCTTTGCAAAGCTAGCTCATGCGCTTCTTGGTACTCACCAAGTAAACTTTGAGGATTTGTATCTTCGAGGATTTGTATTGTGAACGCAACAGACAAATTGAATGATATCAAATCTGCGCGTTGGATTGCAAATGCTTCTAGGCGGCGTCAAACAAATGCGTCATCTTGGGGCATTGATTCATGCTCGTTTGGAGTGGAGGCTCGAACTTGCCAGGCAATCGCGAAACAAGCAGCAATCACAATTACACAATGTACAAATAGAAATAAAATTCCTTTGAGGTTGGTTCAAGCTTGAAAATTCATTTAGCAATTGAAACTGTAAGGCCTCCCAATACCGGTTGCTTGTATCGTGCCTTGGCTAAGCTGTACAAGAGGAACTTGGCAAAAACAAGAAAGTGGTTGGATTCCCACGTGTGATATCGGGTTGACTTGGTGAAATTGTGTTTCTGTGCGCCACCCGGATCATCAAAGGCACAAGTAGTTATATATCTACCACACAAACGGTTCCCCCTGAAGATCCAGCAAGGTCGGAAAACACAGCAAAAACTAGCGCGAACGTGACGTTCTTCCAGACGATGTGGGCTTGAGGCGTCATTCAAACTATTGGCCGGTATAAACCTGTCGCACAGCGCAGGCTGCTGGAAATATCATAAAGGTACCTGGTTTGAACTATTGTTTGGAACCCGGCTCCGTCAAGCTGCACAGAAAGAGTGCATCCAAAATAAGGAAATATGTGGATTCCTGTGCGCGATGTCCGCCAGACTTGACCAAAATGGGCCGCCACCCACAACCAGAATGACTCTTGAAACCAAATGAGCTCATCTGCTGCTCCACATCTTCGTCCACTGGAAGTAGCAACAAGCGATAGAAGGAGCGCAAAAAAGACCTTGGCCAAATGTCAGGCAGATTCAAACTCGCTGCTTCATGCAAATTGAAGGGCAAGCTGAAGCAGCTGTCGTTGACCCAAACTTCTGCTTGCCTGTCGACTGTTGTTGGTATGTCAAAGAACGACGGGAAATGCGCCAAAACAAATGCAATGGTTAGACCCACAGGCACAACACCGAATAGACTTGGCTACAGGTCCGCGAGCCCAATCAAAGGCGAAAGCCTTTGGTTAATCGACCATAATGACTACACCTTTTTCGAGTCACTCTGGTTCGCTGCGTCACCAGCGCTTCATTCAGCCTGACCAGCTCCCGCAAAACGCAATTGAACAAGCTCGCCATCTCTCCTCACAACTGCGCGAGGCTGCCTTGGGCCTCCATCAGCCAAATACAAGGCAAAGATTGACATGTCGGCTGATCACAATCATATCATCTCCTATCCCCAAAAGGTCATCAAACAAGCAAATATTTGACAGAGAGTGAGACTTTCCAAGGAAAAGTGAACTTGAGTTTCCTAACAGAACGGCCATCCTGCGCACGTGCAAATGTCGGGATCCAAGCTTTGAGCTAAGGGGTGCGCAGCTTTGACTCCATGCTTGAAAGCCTGTTGGATCCTGCCTCACTCCAAGAAATTTGAAATAGCAACGACACGAGTCGAGTTGCATCGTTCGCACAACCAGAAGCAAACCTGTTCGCAGGCAGACTCAGAAACTGGACACTTTCAGGTGCAGTGGGGGTTGGAACAAACCAGCATGGCAAACACCTGCTCATAAGGCTTGAGAGGACAACAAGAAGCTGGTTGGAGTTGGGCCCATCGTGAAGCCTTGACTAAAGGTCTCGGTCTCTGCGCATCATAAAGGTCTGTTCCAAGGTCAATGTCTTCATCTACTCCAACTGGTCAATCTCTCCATAAGCACTGACCAGAAACGCAACAAGCAGGAGCGCGACGTTGCTCAAGAAGGCTCGGTGGCTCGCGCTGACTCAGGGGAGGAAGCAACTAGTCACGCCAACAGAGCAGATGTGACAGTTTCTGTTTCTAGGACTATCTACCTTAAATGTGGAAAAAAGTGTTGCTGGTATCGCGCAAGACCCTGTTGCCCGCCGATAAGTATAGAGTCCCCATGTGTGGTGTAGCTTGGATAAAGCAAGCCATTGCCCACAACCTACACCTTCATCTTCTGCTTCTTGCCGTTCCGACTCAAACATCGCCAAGGACCGAAAGAGAAAGAGGCACTTGGTGTGTTTTTCGGCAAACTGAGAGCCGGAACAGTCGACTCAGCTGTGAAGTACATGTCAAACAGGAAGCCCCCCAAGTGATCTTGAAGTTATTAGTTGCTTGCTTGCAAAGTTCTGGCTGGGTATTCTATGACACTGCAAACAAAGCTGCAAAGTCCAACTTAAAACAGGCTTACACGAGTCCAAGTTGAATCCAGTTGGAGATAGGACTGGTCTGTGTGGAGGATCGAAACAGGGAGCTGGACGATTTAGCTCTATATTGTCGTAGACTCCCTGTTTGGAGTCGTACCAGCTTCTGGGTGGCGCGCTCCTAGTTGGGTGAAACACGAGTTCAAAGGGGTGGGCAGCCGGCAGCGCCTTTTCCAAAATGTCTCAAAGACTAAAAAAAATGCGATATCCCACCATCATGCTCATACTGGCAGCCCTATTCACAACTCAAGGGTATCAGAAAATCTGTCAAACAAGTACAGGCCAAAACCCTTCTCTTCAGGCGAGCCAAATCCGAAGCTGGTCACCAATGCTCAAAAGCTCATCTCTCGGTTGAAACCGGATCGGGAGAGCGACTGTTTAGCTTGGCCTGTGAAGCGAAGCCACACATTACCTTAAATGTATGTTTAAATGTGGTGTTTAAAAGTATTTTAAAAAAGAACTGCTGGTAGTTGATACTATGTGCGTTTGCTTGTTGCATTGTTGAGCATGCAAATCGCCAGTCAGCTCAGCAGGAACAAATTGGATTTCCCGTTCACGACTCGGCTGGTTGGAGCTGTACAAAAGGTATGCGCCAAAGACAATGAAGTTCGCAGATTCCCACATACCATACCGGGCAGAATTAGCTGAAGCGGGCCTCCGACCTAGTTCTGAGTCTACTTACATTGACGGCACAGGCAGAAACAGGAAGAATGCGATGACATGAGGTGTCGGCTTCTACGCGACTGCGGGACAGCATGGACATGCTGCATTACAACTGCATGCCACGCTGACAAAGCTTGCCAAGAGTTGTGCTGCTCAAGAGGTGCAAACGTGAATGCTCAAAGGAAAATTGTTTATTGAATGGTTCAGGGACAAATATGTACCTATGGAGGAAACTCTTTCTCTACTCCAAGTCTTCCCGAACCAAACGATTGGACATCTTCGATTCATCTTGCGCACCACGCTCAGGTCGTGCGAAGGGGCCCCAATTGAGTTTCCTACCGAGCAAGAATAGCACCATCAGGTCCCAACTCACGGCCATGGCTCGTTGAATCCAATGGCGACCAAAGTTGAAAAACAAAGGCATATTATTAGAGTTGTACGTTGTTCAAATGTTCGGTTTGTAAAACGACCCTTGTTGCCTCAACACAACATGATCAACCGCTAGCTTGACAGAATGACTTTCACTCTCAACTCACCTGCCGAGACTGTGTCATTTACCCGAATGATGCCCCAATGTGTTCGATCCACCATGCTAATAACCTGCAGCAATTAAAAAGACCTGCGGTTGCAGCTGACGTACTGCACTTTGTTGCGCTGACGAAACAAACGGGCTAGTTACGTCAAGTTGCAGAAATACGCGAGGACCAAATGTCTGTCAGTCAGTCAGTCAGTCAGCCAGCCAGCCAGCCAAACACTAAGTCACTAAGCACTCACCGTCCCACAACCACAGGTGACTTTTCAATCATCATCAAGCAATGCATCCAGCAGCGATGCTGACCTGGCTTCCAGCTTCCACTTTGGACCTTCGCCAGATCCACCAGCCCTGGCAGCAGGGGCGCCCTCCCGCTCAGGTGCTGTTGCTGGAGCAGATGGTGTTGACGCCGGCACAGTCGCGGCGTCTGAATCTGCACGCTCAGCAGCAGCCGTTGAGGCTGAGGCGGCTGAGGCGGCTGAGGCCGCTGAGGCCGCTGAGGCCGCTGAGGCTATTGAGGCCGCGAACGCACGCGCCAGCGGCGAGTCCGACACGGCACGGTAGGGCACAGCCGAGGCAGCCGCGGCAGTGGACGAAGCTGTGGCTGTGAAATCAGTGGGTGCAGCAGGTGTGGTGGCTGCAGCTGCGGCGGCCGGGGCCACTGGGGCGGTCGCTGGCACCAAGAGCTGGATGATCTTGGTGAGGCGGTCCTGAAAAGCCAGCGTTGAAACGCTGAATGGGTTGCACTCAATCAAATCTGGCAAGCACTAGACTAGATTCAAAAAAAAGGATCTTGTCTTTCTCTGTGAACTCGCTGGTTGCACATCTTTTACAGTCCAGTGATCCATTGGAGGTCCAATCAGTCGTCAGTGTCATCTGGGCCTGCTCCCCCCACACTGCCACGAAAGGCCAGCAGCTGTACATCAAGCCTAATAAAGAAAGGCCACTTCCATCCAACGACTTCTGAGTCAGTTGTTGACTCGAGGAGGCAGTTGAATGGTGGCTCCTTTACGGTTGGAATGCCTCTAGAATTGTTGGTGAAGATTAAAATCCAGCACTTATGAAATCCAGAACCTTCGAAAGCTTTGAGCATTCAAACGCTTCTAAAAGGCTGTGGGTCCTGGTCTCAACTACCCCGTAATTGCTTTTACTATTAGTAATTACCAGTATTGGTACTAATATAATAATATGTGTCTACCTATTTGTGTCATCATTATTACTGCTGCCGCTACCACCACCAAGAACGCTTATTAGAAAGGTTTGATGTTCCCGACACTACCTAACCCCCCCCACAGAATGCTGAATCCAACACCGCACCTGGCTGCAGGGTCCACCTTCAAATGTTGGGCCAACAAATCCAGAGCCGTGCCCAAGGCACCCAGGATGACCTGGGTAACGGACGTTCGCAATCCTCCTGTCTGTTCCAAAATGATTTTGGGCAGAATCTTCCGAGCTTCTCAAAGAAAGTGTGTGCCGCATGTTGATCACCAGCATGGGAATTGATGTATCTAGTGAAGTGACACAATGCTACATCAGCCCGAGGTTGAAGGCTAGATCAACACCATGGCTCAGTGCACATCTTGAGGTGTTGCACATGGGAGAGGTGTGGGTGAAGCTGCATGACCATCTGACCATCTGACCATCTGACATAGTTTCTGTTTGTTTGTGTTGCCCTTAGAGAAAATGTCAGAGCAGGTAATTCCTCAGTCCGAATGGTGTGTTCAGGTGATTGAAACTGTCGAGCAACTGTCTCCAGTTGCAACAGGCGGTTTTTATGAACACAATTTAATACTTGCAAAATGGTGGTCGTTCCTGGAAAAAGTTGCAAAGGTCGTCCTCCCCAAAGTGCATGTGAGGCTCCCCACCTCCGCCCGGTTGTTGAACACGCCACCTGCGCTTCAGGTGCCGATGGGTGACAAACCCAGAAACACAATGAGCAAAACTCCAGGTGCAATGGAATCGCGTGTTGGAGGCCATCGCTCGTTGGAGGCCATCGCTATTAGTAACTCAAAAGAAGGTTGTTCATGCCAGTGACCCGGTCTTCCATTGAGTTGCTAATACTCTTACTTCATGCCCTTCCAGCAGTGTGGTAACACACTCTCTAGGTCGTTCTCATTGCAACATTGAGAAAGAGATGTTTAAGAGTAAGGATTGTCAACTGCATCTATGAGCCAACTGCATCTATGATGAATCTTGCCACTATCTGCTAATGTCTAGACCGGCAATCTAGGAATAGAATTTTCTGATCATTGACCTCGTTTTTTCGAGTTTTAGATTAATCTAAAGGAACATGGAAGAAGAACATTCAAGGTACGCGACACATCACTGAGGAAGACACTATGTCACTATGTCTATCTATCTATGTCTAGGTCCACCCTCTTCAAGCACCCAGGATCCTCACGCCTCCGGCCTCCTAAGGGCATCAAGAAGATCTTCTGCTTTGTCCCCGGCTTCGCAGCCTCGTAGGCCAAGCGCAAAGCGCCGAAATACCTCAGGCTCTGAAAAGTGTCCAATATCTATCTATTTTTGGGGCACGTGTCGGTCTTCGAGTGTGGCAAGTCCTTTGCCAACCGCCTTGTTTGTTGCAAAAATGATTGGCTCCGGACTTGCGCACTGAACCCGTTATCCTGGAGTTGCCTTGTGTCCGGCCGTGGTGCTGAGAGACAATCACCAGCCGTCCAACTTCCTCCTGGAATCCATCGCGTGGAGAGTTGTAGGAGTTTCTCCGCAGGGGGGAGACACGAAAGCAAGGATGATTGGTCTACTTGAGACACCCTCAATCCCAGCAAAAAACACATTTAGCCCATTTGGATCCATTTAACATCCATTTATATAACATCTATATATTTACAGCCATATCATGCCATATCATTTCATGTCGTCACCGTCCGATTCGCTACCGGTCGACTCCGGTGTTTCGACCCACGAACGGGGCAGCAGTGCCTGAAACGGCACGTCCAAATTTCCGGCATTGAGATAGGCCTCATCAGGAAATGCCAACGGCCAAACGGTCCAAAGACAACGCGTCGCCTGCTCAGCCAACCAAAATTGAAACACGGTAAGCCACATACAAAAGTGGTTGTCAGGAGCGGCAGGTCAACACGGCACTAGCCAACCCTCCTCCTCCTGGCACCAACTTAAAAGCATTGAGATATTGTTCATTCTGCAGTTTCAGATTGATAGATGTTTTGCTGACTCCTGACACATGCCAGGACCACTGGACCTGTGAAGCAACTGTCCACCCAAACGCGCCTTCACAGGAATCGCAGAGGCATAGACCATGCTCACCTTGTGCTGGGGCCCTGGAGATCCGGCCTCAAACGATTCACACGGCCGCAGTCGTGGCATGTCATGCCCCATACACACACCACACAGGAACACACACACACACAAAAAATAAAAAATAAACAATAAGTGCATTGTCCAACGCTTCAATCCCAGCAGAGTCTGGGGAATCCAGCACCACACAGCTGGTGTGTTTCTCTAGACACAACACGATGACGAGAAACAAACACGATGACGACACAACTCCACAGACCGAGGCTGGGTTTCCAGGCACAGAACAGTGTTGATTTTGAGAGGGGTGTGTGTTTTCGCAGCACATTCTTACCAGGTTCGGATGCAGTTGCTTCGACTTTCACTGATTTCCCTTACCAAGGACTCGTCAGGTTAGTGACATCCGTCTCAGCCGCTACTCTTGAAGGCCTTTTGAAACTCGCTAAGATGTGTGTTGGCCATCAAGGAACCGTGGCTTCCCATCTCCCCATCAATCGCCGGAAGCCCATCTCCCATCTCCCTTGCCTCAAGCCACAGCTGGGCACGTCCTGGCAGTTTGGCATGCAAAAGCCACATCGTTGATGAAAAAGACATGTTGAACTCACCCGACACCATCAACGTAATAATGTAGGACCCAGGTTGCGTTGCACGGTTTGTACAAGCAGCACCAGCACGAAAGTATCGAAAGACTGCAAAAGCATCGCAAACGAGATCGAATGCGAAAGGGCTGACTCCCCGGACCAATTTGTAAGCCAAAATTCAATCTCCTGTCACCCTTGTCTACAAAGGATGTTTCAAAGGAATCACCACCATCTGTTTCAAACCTCAAGCGCACCCTTGCTTTTTGAACATGTCCCAGTCATAGAGTGTCGATTCCTACCGTTGGAAGCAGCTTGCAGATCACCCAGCACTCAAGGGCCGACCAGCTCCTATTGAACATTCGAACGACCCAAGAACCTTTGAGTGTTCGCTATATTCCATCACAAGTGACCCAAAACAACCAACATAGCCACATGGCCAACTTCTGTTCCACCCTCTGCCAGCAAAGCTTCCACCAGCCCGGCCTTGGCACAAATGCAGCGCATATGGTGCAGCGAGGCTTCCAAGCAGCGCAAGACGTGGTCCTGCGGATCGGTTCCTTAGAGATCCTGATCGCTTCCTCAGGGGCTCAGGACCTCGGACTAGTGATCGGCAAATTGTCAAGCTGCCAAGGACCCAAAAAGGAAAATCGTGAATGTAAAGTGAAAACACAAAGCCTGCAAGGACCAACATGGACCAACGACCTCAACTCCTGAAAAAAGCGACATGTCCGGGCCATCCGCTCTGAACTTACAACATACAGAAAAGGTGCGACTTAAGTAGTTGCACTTCAATGAGGCAACAACCCTACTCAATTGCCGTTTTGAGGGCAAACCATGATATTTTTGGGTCAGTTGATTGTAGCGAAAAAGATTGAAAAAGGCATTCCTTCAGTCCATTCCTCCGTGACTTACGCCGGAGGGGAACTTCATGGTTTTAGTGGCATCGCGTGTCAGAACAGGTCCTGATTGGCCTTGGGACAAGATGGCACTCCCATGTAGCCGTTCTTCACGTACAAGCTATACCTTAAACAAATGTGCTTCGGCTTCGACATGGCTTTTTGCACAGGAAGCAGTGCGTTAACTTCTGCACTACTAACGGTACTAGGGTCTATGGACGACTTCTCCTGTGCATCCGCTTCCTGGCCTTGATTCAAAAACTCGAGCACAAGTTGCGTTGGCAAAATCCAAGGTACCTCCCCAACCCTAAAACCCTCAAAGAATAAGTTTCAACGTGTTCAGTGAAAGCCACATAAAATACCGTCGTCAAGGTGTCCCATCTCTTTGCCCACAACCCCAACAACCCCGAACTCACCTGGACCGCCAAGACACCCGGTCGGCCAGCTTGTCGCTGCCTTGGCGTCCAAAAGCACCTTCTGCGCGGCGTCGAGGCCGCTCCTGGCCGCGGTGTAAAATCTCCACTTCTTGGCACTTCTTGGTACTTATAGAAAACAAAAGGAAGAAAGGACTACTAGTAGCTTCTTGCTACTATATAGTAGTAATGGCCTCCAACCTACTGGCGGCCTCCACCTAGTAGCTTCTTGCTACTAGTAGTAGTATGTATCGTACTCGTACCCGTCTCACTACCTTTTGCAAATTCGTCCAAGAGACAGTCCTTCTTTGAGCTTGCAAAGGGTAGTGACGTTTGCAAGGATACAGGCCCACCGAGTCATGAAGAATGGCGGCTCTGAGACAAAGAAGTTAATACGGTTGCAGTGTTTGACAAAGTTATTGGCATCAAAAGACATTTAAAAAACAAAAAAAAACGTGACAGAGACAGAGACAGTGAGAGCGTTGCCCTTTCAAGTTCCGGGTTCCAAGCTCGCATCAAACCACCAATCTTGGCTAATCTTGGCCTCTTGTCAGAGGCCGCGTTGTCCAGGATAAACTGCCCGACCTCGCACAAACAGGCTGGTGTGGTAACAACGTCAAGGATGCCGTCTATCTGTACAACGTACCCCATCTCTTTAATTCGTGGCCAACTCGAGGTAGCACGCAGGGCATTTCGAAGCATCAAAAGGCTCAGCTCCCCACAGC